CAACTTGTTTTGGGTTTTTTATATGGTGTAATGTTCTGTTTCATTGCATTTAGTGTTGATTGAGTTACATTTTGATGTAGGATGGAGATAGGTTTTGGCGAATGCCTGAGTGTTACATTCGGGGAAATACAATCAAGTATCTTCGAGTCCCAGACGAGGTATGATTACAACTTTGCTAGTTTCCACTCTTCATTTGCGCAATTTTTTTTTATTGATGCAGTCGCAGTTTTAAAATAAAGTGTTAGGTAGGCTGATATAGATTTGCATATAAGCTATACCCAAACTTTCCTAGTTTCTCCAGGCTTCTTATTTAATATCACGATGAAGTCACTAGGTATTGATTTGATGCAATCCAATTTGTCATGGCTAGACATTTTCCAAGTTAATGAATTTATTAGTGTTTTGCTTTACAGCTAATGTAAACACAGATAGACCTTTAGTGGGTTGCTTCATTTTAGTGTCTTAAGTTACAATGGTTTTGTTGTGGGCCAGTTGAAGCCATCAATGTGATGGTAGTTGACTAGTTGCACTTATTTTATTAATTGACGATTAGCTATGTAATAGCTGTATCCTATTAATTGACTAATAAAGGAAAAGGCAAGGATGGTTCTCAAGAGTTTACCACTTCAGACTGCAGTACCGTGGTATAGATCGACTTGAGAAATCTATAATAGTCAATCCCTTTTACTAATTTACTGTGTCTTTTTTCTGCAACATCTGGGATGATGAAATTTAGCCAAATCAGACGTTTGCTCCTTGAGGCAATTTATTTTGGGCTTGTTCCGAATGTTTTTTGTAGAGACACTCTGGTGATCTTTGCTAAGCACTTGATCAAGCTCCAGATACGAGGCTTTTTGTAGAAGCAGACATTTTGATGATAAAATTGAGATGGGTTTCTCACTGACCAGAGTCTTTTCTTTTGTATCTATCCAGCCAACAAATTTACTCCTCCTCCCACATCTCTCCCCTCCTCCTTTAAAAAGGAAAAAAATGAATACAAAGAAAAAATTAACGTGTGGTTATGTTGGTTAGACCATAATGGACCTGCACACTAAATAATGGAGCATCAGAAATATATGTGCTTGAATGTTGGTTAGACCATGATGGACCTGGGCACTAAATAATGGAGCATCAGAAATATATGTGCTTGAAGAAATGTTTCGATCTTAGGAAAGGTTTAAGGTTTGTTGGGACATATTGCCAAATTAGTGTAGAAGTTCTCCATGGTAGAACCTAGTAACCTGCAGTTCTGTAGGGTCAGTTAAGTGAAAAAAAAAAGTAGCCACTTTGCATCCATCCTGTGCCAGTTGTTTGGTATGTTGGTTGGTAGCATCATTCTTGTGGATGTGTTATAACTTACTTCACTTCACTTGGGTTGATAATCGCGTTCCTTGTGAATTAAATGACTTGGTTTTCAGCTATAGGCAAATAGACATAGTTAGGACTGTAATGTGTCAGGGGCAGACTATGGATGCCGATTTTCACTATTAATGGTCGTACATCTCCTTAGTGGTGTTCAAACACCTAAGTACTACCAAGGTCCTAGGCCCTTAATTGCTAAGACTATTGTGTTCTCTCTTTCCTGATCTCTCTGACATGTGTCTGCCTGTCTGTCTGTCTGTATACAAGAACATTTATACTTCACTAAGTAAATGTCGTGATTCCTTGTAGTACTCACTGTAGGTGAAAAAATCGACTATATTCGACGAAAAAAAATTTAAAAATCAGATATTGGAATATTCACGAATATTTGATAAGATCCAATATAAAATTTATTTCTAGTGTCGAAATCTCAGATATATCCGTTTTTAGTTGTGCATTGAGTAACTTATTTATGTTTTTTTTTCTCTCCACCCGTTTTACTTTTTGTACGAGCTGCATTGACCTGATTGACTGATTATGTTAATGTGGTGGTTTTCTCCCAGGTGATTGATAAAGTTCAGGAAGAAACTAACAAGAGTCGTTCAGGTATGTAGTATGTTGCATATTTCTTGTTCCGTTATGCTGCTGGGTCTATTTTGTTAGTTGAAAGAAAGATTCTTAACCTGTACAATTCTATTTTTCTTGAAATGAACATGTATTTTGTGGTTCAAGTTGTCTGACATACAGTTGCATCATCCAGTCTGCATATTAATAATTGTTTGGTTGTTGAATATTTCAGATAGAAGGCCACCTGGAGTAGGCCGAGGAAGAGGAAGAGGTAGAGAGGATGGCACTGGTGGGAGGCCAGCAAAGGGCATTGGTCGAAGCCAAGATGATGGAGGTGGTAGAGGCCGAGCTAGAGGCGGGCCTGGTAACAGAGGTGGCAGCAACAGAAGTATGTAGTTCAAATCCTTGTCATTTTTTTCCAAACATAATTGTATGTGGTTCAATATATCCATGCTTCTATTATTACATTTCACAACCACTGATGAAGATTCCTTGAAACAATTGCAGTTATCCTTATTGAATTTTTTAGCTCTATGCTTTTATCTTACTTGCTTTTGTTTGAATGTTTCCCCTTTTGGTAACAGGTGGAGGGCGTGGACGGGCCTAAATAATGTCAGAGTGAACCAAGTGAAGGGCAAATTAACCACTTTTATAGGTATTTTGCTGCTTTGGACAATGTGCAAAGAAATGTGGTAGATCATAGATGTAATGTTTTCTTTTGGTCATTGCCGAAAATGTATGTAGAAAGCTGAAAGAAAAACTTAATTATCTAGATTCAAAAGAAAGGAAGAGCACGTTTTTTCTTGTGTGCTTCTTCCTTCTGCTATTGTGTTGTTTTTTCTTGTGTGCTTCTTCCTTCTGCTATTGTGTTGTGTTATGCGTAGTCTGTCTTTTATTTGACACCTTATTAAACTGTATATTAGCAAAGCAATGAGTTTGCTATGTAGCCCATTTCTAATGGAACATGTGCCTTTCTTTATGCAATTGAAAGTAAGATTGTACAGCCTCATCGTTATGTACACTGTTGCTATGCATTAGCTTCTTAACACCAAAACACCATTGTAGCAAGAAGAGAAAATTTTGGTTTTCCAACTGGCCCTTTAGATGATGTCAAATGTGGGCCAGACCTTGGGATAACAATGGACAGACCCAAACTTACAAGACAGGCCCAAGGTTCCAATCTATCTACAAGAAAGGTAGCCTTTATTTCCTTCATTGAAGGGTGATCTTTCCTTGGAATGAATGTTAGTGCAATTAATCTCCTACCATTACTATAATTACATTTTACACGCAACTTGACATTTGACATGCATCTGCAAAAGGGTCTCAAAGATCTTTTAAGAGTGATATTTTCTATTTTGTTTATAGTAATTCTGAGTTTTCTTGAAAAGAATTTGGTCTAAACTAGTCTGTTGTCCAAGCTTAACATCACAATGGTCTTATACAGTTATACTCTTATTAACCATGCTTAAAAACTTATTCAGATTGTGTCCACTACAGGTTCGTCTCCCGGCAGCAGTTGTGCATGGGTGAATTGGCTATCTCAAAGCTGTAATGATGGAAAGATTAAAAAAAATTTCAATGTCTTTAATTTTCTAATGGAGATTTTGTAAGTTGCAAGGAAAAATATCTGTCACAAGAGACAACAAAACATGAAAACAGTAATGCATCACAATCAGCTACTTCTCCAATAACATTAACTTTTAAGGAGTAATCGAGTAAAGAAGTTTTTGATGCCAGGATCTACTCTACTTTAACACTAGAAATTTAGAAAAACAGAGCTTTACTCATCGAACAAGATCATGCACTCTGAACCGCTTCTGCCTTGGTTTCTAAAACTTCTCCATCTTGCTTCACAGCTTCTTGCTCTGAAAAGCAAACACAAGCAGAAATAGAAGAGGAGATTATTAGTTTCAAGAAACTTGACAACAACAAAACTTAATGCATGTGTATTCAAGCTTCATTCTTCATCAAGTATAAACAAGTCTATATAAATCTCACTATATTCCACAAACACAAAAGTATCAAGCTCTATTCATCCTAATATCATAGGAGTTATATGTATTTCCCTTTGTCTCTTTGACATACTCTGCAAGTATGCTGTGAAGCATCAAAATGTATAAGAACTTGTGCTTTTTATGAGCCTTGTAGTGCATTTCCAAAAGAATAAAAAGTTGTAAAAGACTTGAAACTTAAACGTGATAGCTTTGTAGCTTTCAAACAATACCCATGAATTTCACTAATCTATTTATATATGTAATGATTCAATACCTTCATCCTCAGTGTCATCAAGATCATCACCCATATCATCCTCCACTCCCGTGCCATCCATACCACCAAAATCACCAAAATTCTGTAGAAGAAATCACATATTAGCAAAAATTACAAAAAAAATGAAAAAAAGCAATTAACCTAATTGGGCTGAGTATGCATACCGAGAAATCCATTCCTCCCAAATCCATATCATCAACGGGAACTGAAAGAGTCAATAAATAACATAATAAACAAATTAAAATAATAATGGACACATATTTGTTGATAGCCACAAAAAAATGCTTCTGAAGATGGTCAATATAAGAAACCATACCATCATCGCTATCTTCATCAGCCCATTTGTCCCAGTCAACTTTCACATAGTGTGGTGTCTTTTCATCACCACGCAATAGCTTTTTCCACCATTCTTTCTCTGCTTTCTCAATGACACAGAATATACTCCTTACGCCAAGGTTAATTTTGCTTTCCTGTTCCATCAGAACTTCATAAATAATAAAATCTAAGAGGTTATGCCACAGCAGGGGTGTGGGGAAAGAAGTCAACCACAAGAATAGGTAGTTCATTAATCTTATACTCGCAATTTAAGCAGGACCAGAAAGGTGGTAGCCACTGCAAGGAAACAACTCTTACCTCTACGTTGACCTTGTCAAAAAGATCCAATTTCAGTTCGTACAGATGGTTTTCTGCTCCAGCAGTTGCAGAAAAAGTAAACCTTCCATCAGGTTCTAGGTTGACCTTTGGAGATTTAGCATCAGGCAATAGCACCGTAATATACACTTTATCTACTCTTTGTGCCCACTTCACCTCTGGCAGGCGACTGATAAGTTCAAAGAAGTTTGGTTACGTTGGCAACAATATCAAACCTTCGTAAGGTGCATTCTCCAAAATTGTCAAAAACCTACTAGAAACTAAAATATTCTTGTTTAAGGGGGTCGAGATCGTCAGTATGTTGCAATTCAGTGCATATACAAACTTTTAAAAAGGCATATCATCTTCACATTTGCAGACCTCTTACACATAATGAGGCATGTATGTACAAAAAGATATTTGGTATAATCAAGTAAAAGAAGTGTCAATTGTGGCACATATGTCAGAAAATGCAATCCCTATGACTGGATTATTAGCACCATGACCATGATATATCAAGTATGTGGATCCCAATGAACCGAGACGATTGTGTTTTAGACTTGTGTGAAACAGCAACATTGTGTGCAATCTAAGTTAATGTTCCATAATTAGTAGTGAATGATTTATTCCTAGGATAAACAACACTTGCTATTCATGCATACCAATCAGTCAACCTAAGAGAGGGCAATCTGACTGCTGACATGCATAACAAATTAATAATATTGATATATATTTCAGGTTGTTTGTATAATTTAATGGTTAAGTAATAACATTCATCGATCATCTTGTTCATTGAAAACTTGAATAACACAACATTTTGGAAAAAACACAAAATCATGAAAGTGTGTGCACATTGACATATTGTAATCTCTTCCATTTATGTGTATACATAAGGTTTAGTATGTTTATGTTTAAATATATGTGAGCTTCTGATAGTGTGAGAGTACGAATAATCAACCAACTTTAGAAGGTTTCACTCTCTGAGCCTAACCTACAACAGCCTTCAGTGGTTC